TGTGTGTTGCGACGCGTGTGTGTGTGTGCGTGTGTGTGTATGTATGTATGTGTGTGTTTGTGTGTCTGTGCGTGTGTGTGTGTGTTTTTGTATGTGTGTGTATATTGTGTATGTGTGTGTGTATGTATGTATGTGTGTATGTATGTATGTATGTATGTGTGTTTCATGTTCCGAGCTCCAGTTAAATGAAAAAAGAGAAGGAAGAGAAAGAGGAGGGAGTACTTCATCTCGTTATTTCTTTCAATTCTTCCTTGCTCTCCATTTTCATTTTTTTTTTTTTCTCATCGCATCCTAATCCAAGGAAGGGAAAGGAGTAGTAATGAAGACGAGGAAAGATAGGAACCTTTAGTGTGAAGTGTGATGCTAAGGCTTTCATCACTTTGTTAAGGGTTTCAGCCTTCGGGGATCTAATTAGATGGTTTTCTCCTCGAAAAACACATTAGTTATGCGTGGGAGAACTAGTAATAGGCTTAACATTGGATTGGGACAGATAGATATGGCTAGTTGATGAATAATTAGATAGATGACAGAGTTACTCTTATCGCCATCGTCCATTTATAGCGAGAAGTCAGAAAGCTAAATTCAAATAACCGTGAAATTAGATCTAGCCTTGGTTGTCGTTTCGTTTTTCATCCCTGCTACGAGTTCGTAATTTTGTTATTCTTATATATAAATAAAATTTAGACTCGAATTTATACTACACTTTGTTTGCTGTATATTCCCCAAATTCGCATATTCTCTTGACGATCTCTTCGGACTATAATGTATGGTATTTTCTCTGTATGAATGAAAATCACCTGAACAGTTGTGTTTGTTTTTACGCATTTCGAAATTTAGAAATAGCTAAAATTTTAAACGATATCTTCGAATTGTTTTAAACAGTAAGAAAAGCGCAATTAACAAAATTAAATCAGTCTATGTCTTCCATCCAGCACCATCTTATACCTTTCTCATTCTCCCACTTAGTAGCATACTAGCTTTTCCCGCAGAGTGATACATACGATACTTCTCAGGCTTTTGGTCGAAAACCGATCTTCTTTTATGTCATTCCCTTCCCGTTTGATATATTACCAACAGTTTTACTTTCATTCCCAATTGGACACGCCCAGTACTTGCATAAATGAATTGAAAAAAAGTTCTTTGCATTTGAGCTTTGTTGGACATTTGTTTAGTGCTAGTCAATAAGTGTGGCCTGTCCACTGTGAAATTCTTGACACTGTGGCAAAAACCTTTTTTTTCTGTCGTAGTTATGAGGTTGAATATTTGCTCATTGGTCAAGAAATTAGTTCACTGGACAACTTAAAATTCACTTTTGCTATTCACTTTTGCTATGTTGATCCATTCAATCATCAGGAAAGAAGGATTGAAGCTTTACATTCCAGAAAGAAATCAGATACTATAGGAATTGTTTTTTATCTAATGTAGTGAATTTAACCTGCATATATACAATTATTTTCTATTGCTGGAAATTAACGGACCAATAAAATACCTATTATTTGCGAAGAGCTATAATTTTATCCTTAATTATTTTCCGTCATGTTGTAGAAAAAATTTATGGCTTCATTTATTCCACAACTCGTCAGTTTACTGTGATCATTTTCCTTTTCAAAATAAACTTGGAAAATTACTTTTTTCGGGTGTGAAATATATGTAATTTTGATATTCGTCGTTTTGTTTCATACGTTTCATGTATTGGTGCTCTTTTTTTCGTAGCAAAATAGCTGTCCTTATATATATGGAATTTCTTAAGACTTCATAATAGAATCCAGCAGTAAGCTATGGTCTTTTCACTTTTCTAGATGTATTCTCCATGATATTCTTAATAGATGATAAAACCTTCGTTGATCGTCTCTAGAAATGGAATAAGTAAGATATATTCATTTTTCAATAAAAAAAAGCAAATTTTTTCTCGACGGATTTGTCAGATTTTCTCGGATTTTGGTTTTTCTGTACTCTTATTTCTTGTGTTTCTTCTTTTTAAGATACTTTAGACATCATTTGGTTTCATTTTTCAGGCTCCAAGTAGTTCACTTCTCAGGTTTTAAACAGTCCCACCTCCATTTTCAACAGTAAGCGAGGACTGTCTTGTCTTGGAAACAGCTTACTGGCAGTTTCGTAGGAAAATAATAACCCAGTCTTAGTGTTTTATTAGTGAAGTGTTTTTCCCATGCATTGTTAAAAAAAATTTCAGGCCTTACTTCTTATCGGTATCTCTTACTTTTGATCTGTGAGAATTTCAGATGTCTAAAACTGCACCGTTCCTCTGTTATTTCGCGGCCCTGGTCCATTTGTTTCCATATTTTTAATTTCGGACTAGCTTAATTGTATTCTATTTTCATATCCTTATCCTAAATTTTAAATGATATTTTCTTACTGAGAAAAAGTTGAGGGCTACCATAGGGGAAAGGATGACGAGAGCTGAAATTTAAGGTTGGAAGGAAGGAACGGGATGGATTACGGAATTTGAGATCAGGTTGACTTTCCGTCGTGAAAACAGGACTTTTTGCAGATCCTTCATTTATTCTTTATATTTTAATCTTAAGCTTCTGAAGCAAGGCCGGATAATTGTTCATTTACATTGCATTTTGCAAAAACATTGGTTAAGAATTTAATCTATTAAATTTTCTATAGCTGGGACAGTACAGGCTGTGAATCCGGTATCGTGTTGCACGATAGAAGTAGTGAAATCAGCGAGACATCACAAGATAATATTTTCGACGAAGTTATAAGAGGCACTAATTGGTAGGTTTATCATCATTTTGCGTTATTTCCAGGTTTTTTCTCAGGAAATTTAAAATACTACTTAGGCATCCATTAAGATGATAACCATTTTTACGTGGTTGCTTTTAGTTGATTTAAATCTTCATAACTGTTAATAAGTAAATAAGTGACCGTTCGATGTCAAGATATTGAGGAATTCAGCTTATCAGATCATTTGTATAATAATTTGTAGAGTGACGAAACCTTCCAAAGGAACAGCATGCTCTCCCTCTGACAAGATTTTCAGATTTTTGTAATTCATATTTAAATTTAAAAGTGAAATTTGCTATTAGTATTGCATTTTTTAATATGTTTATTGCCAATGAAATATCTCTTTCAATTTATTTTCTTTATTTTGAAACAGAAACTTTTATATCATTGATTCGGGATAAGACGACATACTAAAATACGTTGTCAGATAGTTTCTAAGCATAACGGTCTGATTAGTACTATAGCGAACTTGCTATCCGAAGTGGGGATTTAGAATATCCTTGTGTTGTTATGGATGGATCAAATTCAGGTGGATCGGTTTTACCAACTAATGATTTAGTGAAGGGATATAGCTCCATTTCAGAGTTTTTTGCTCGCACTCTTACCTGGGCAGAGAACTACTAATGATTGAAAAAGAAGGATTTTATTAGTCGAGTTAGTTATTAAAATGGAGATTGATGAAATAGATTAAATGACGATGGAATTACGTGAGAAAATAGTTCCGAATAAAAGAAGGTAATTTAAAGAGCTTAGTGCGTTTTTCAATTGCCAAAGAACAGTTTAATGAATTTTATCGGCTTTCTCATCGTTTTCCTTCTCAAGCATTTTGATATTTGTCGAGCGACGATTGATATCCCTTGCGTGAGCTGAGGAAAGAAATACATAATAATTTCAAAGTTACATCGAAATGAAATCAGTAACCGAACAGCTTCCCATATATCAGTTGTTTACTGTTATGCATCCCTCCAGAAATAATTCTACTCCTTTATATTGTAATTTTAATTTTTTAAGAATCTCCAATTTTGTTTGGGAGTGAATGGTTTTTGGTAATTCATCACCTTTAAAAGCAATTAGAGCTGAGGAAAAAATATCAAGGAGAAATACCTCCTCATGAATTATGACGTCTGAAATCTGATTACCTATTGGATGATCTGGTTTCTATGCTATAATGAGGGAAGGAATATTAATTTAGAGTTTGCAGTTTTTCCATGCTAGTTTGGAGTTATACACGATCTGTTCGATCGTCCCTCACACAGCAATATCATCCAGGTCATAGCATCCCCACTTTTCTTATTCATTATTACGAATCCTTGACGATACCTGTCTACACCATACTAGATGAATATATATGTCACATACGCCTTATTATTGATTCATAAAACTGATGATATTCCATTTTGAGTTGACTTTCATCCAATTAAAGTTTTGAAGAAAATTTGTAATAAATATTTGTCAATGGACATAAACATAGAATTGTTATGGGATCAGAGAGACTTGCGCAAACACCCAGATTATACACTCGGATACATTTGTACGAATATGCAGTTTTGTAAATGCATATTCGCTCAGCTATGCACTCACATATATATGTAGAAAAAGGCAAACTTTTCGAATGAAATCAATTTTCGAGGCATGCCTAATATATCTAACTTTCTGTAAATCGATTTTTGGGATAAAATTTAATCTTTAAGAAATTCTGGAGATAAATCGAAAATAAGGCAGGTATGGAGGGTTAGGCATGAAATTTTATGGGATTTCATTGTCGATATTTTTGGTTAACCGAAATGAAGGAAAGGATTAATTGAATTTTATGCCGGAGTTTAAGCTTCCATGAGAATGAAACAAAAAAAAGAAAAAATACTGAGGAATAATGGCTAACAGTCACCAGTGAAATGTCTGATTTCATTCAAAGTTTCAGTAGACATAGACACGTTTAAAGATACTATGGAATAATTTTGTGGTTGGAACTTTCGAAAACTCACTTGCCAAAGACTTCATTCATACTTGAAATCATGAATGTCTTTGATGAATGTGGATAAAATTAGTGAAAGTATTGCAAGTACGAACTGATGCAGCAATATACATTTATAATTACAACAAATATATGGTTTTGCCGAAAGCGAATTTTGGAATTTTTCAAACTGTGTATTTTCAGTGTCACAATAACTACAGCAACAATGTCTTTGATGAATACGGGTAAAATTAATGAAGGTATTGTAAGTACGAACGGATGCAATAATACTGACTCAGGGAAAGCCGAGACGGGCGCATTTCGTCCAGTTACTAGACGTTACATTCAGAATGGATCGAACAAAGTGAGTTAACTCTTTTGACATAAGTTATCCCTCTTGCTTTTCTTATTTACGTTGCAACAGGCATACTGTTGTTTGGAATGTTTGTGAGGAGGGATATTTTTTTCAGTGATTATTTTTCCATCACTTATATTTCTTAGTTGAACTAATTCCATCTTGAATATTATACCTGAACAGTGATACTGTTTTAAGGATTCGAAATTAAAGAAAGTTTAAAGTACTGGCAACTTATATCTCTTTGCTCAGAACTTATTTCTGAGTATTTTACACACTTCAGTGTAATCCTTACGTATTATGTGATAATCAAGAAATCAAAATTTGATTTTCTCAATATATATATATTGTTATATGACCCATCCATCATCTTCGTCTTGTAGTTCGAACCTACCGCCGTCCTTTTTCTTTTCATTGCCCATAAAAGTCCTTGTAAATTACACACAGCAGGTGGTGGTAGTGGTTTGGATGGTAATAGGTAGTGGATGGTTACACTTTGTGACAATTGACAGACCATTCTAGAAATTGCATATCCTGTTTATTCTGCAGTATCATCCGTTTCAAAATTGCCAATCAACGCAAAATTTCTTTCATCCCCTTCGTTAGAGTGACTGGCTGAGTAATATGAAATTTGATGAGTAATTTGAAAAAAAAGGGATGAAAGCTTTGAAATAACCGAGAATTTAAAAACAATTTTGAGTTGAAAATAAAAAACTGTTTCGGGAAATGCTGCAAACTCCTTCCTAAAAATTTGGTTTTTAATATTATCAAACCATTTCCACCTGTTATTGTTATCATTCCTGCAAGATTTTAGATTGTCTTTTTTTGTATTATGAAAGCCTATTTGGCATGATACTTTATGCTGTCCGGGCGATCCAAGCAATATAGGAAAGGTCCTGAACTGTTTTCTCGTCGCATCACCGGCTTATAGCGTTTTTTGTCACAAACTGTGCAGCTCCTTCCACTTGCGCTAACGTCGAATTCTTTGAAAATCGCTGAGTTTTTCTAACTAGTGATATATGACCAAAATCTCAGATCTAAAGTTTTTGTATTTTTGATTTGATTTGTCGATTTCACCGGTCACTGTTTTCAATTCTCCCGAGATGTACTATTGTAATTTGTGGCAGTGTCATCAGCCTATTTTAGCCGCAAATCCAATAATAGCTTTCCTAACAATTTCCGATAATTTTCATTCTTTTTTTTTTTTTCTAGAAAATGACATGGTGTTGTTGCTTGCTACTGCCGGTAGCGATAGCCTATTATCTGGCTTTAAACGTTGTCAGTTTAAAATTATAAAAATGGCGCCATCGAGCTCTTTCATCTTTCGTTGATAATCGTTAATCATTTCTTGTCCTTTAAATTTTCAATTTTAAATTTCATTCCTGTCTTTCAGCCACATTTAGCTATTAAAAAGGGTTTTACGAAAATGGACACCGACCTATAAATGCGGGCAATAAAAATTTTATCTTTGACAAAAAATTGAGTTTTTTTTTTCTCTCGCTTCTGTAAATATTTCTGAGTTTCATTTCTTCCCATTATTTTTCATAATTCATTGTTCATTTCATTTCGTAAAAATTAACTAATATCACATTGTGGCATTGATTAGGTTGCGATTAAAAGACGTTAATTGTCAGAAAGCAATGGTTACAAAATTAGGCATAAAAAGGTTACCGAGGAAGAGATCATCTAATTGGTATCAGTGACTCTTAGAATACTTCTATTATTTCGGATCGCGGTGCGGAATCTCACTGGCTGGGCATGCAGCAAAAGTAGGACATAGGAATGTACGGGGCAGTGTCCTTGTCCACCTTTGTTCATCATCACTGTCATTGTTAACAAACATACTTTCATTTCAATTTCTCGTATTCTAATTTTTTGCTGTTTGTATATATAAATGAAATGGTAAAGTAATTGACTGGTAATTATCAATGCTTAATTCACTTCTTTTCTTTTCACTTGTAATTTCCATATAAAAATGTATGTATTGTTTTATATAAACAGCAGACAAAATGTTCTAAGTTTAGCAAAAAAATATCTTTGTGCAATGGATAAGACGTTGATAATAGGAGAATACAGAAGAAAGGATAATACTACAATTTATCATTTCATGCAAGAGTAATTTTTCTCTTTTTCACCAGTTTTACTTCATTTCCTTATTCATTCATTTTCAGTGTCAATTTTTATTTTCATATGATTTATTACAGCAGAAATGTTTAAGCTGTTAAATTCGGAAAACTAAATGGATCATTTTGAAAATCAATTTTTTTGAACCTAAACGTGTCTGCTGGTGATCGTAATAAAAGTGAAGGAATGAGAGAGAAAAAAGTGTGTAGCGGGTTGTTAAGAATATCATTTCTCGGAAATTTTGTAAAATTCAGGAGGTGTAACTTCAAAATAACCAATTCTGAATAATTCAGGATTCTGGAACGATGATTGAGAAAAATATTGCATACGATTTAGTGCTTACCAACCATCACCAGCAAGAACCACAACAACCAGTAGTAACCCAAGGAATAATTGGAGAGAAACGTCGATACGAAAGTATAACATCAAAACTTCGTTTTGGTCGTGAAACCCCCAAATCACCCTCCTCCCCGATTGCAACTCGACTTCGCAGTTACAACAGTGAGTTTTACTGGCATGTACATAGACGTTAAAATTTTGCAAATGACCTAGAAATTTTCAATTCAGAATGAGTTAGAAATAAAATTAGGCAATGGAAATGGTGACAGTACACGTGAAACACTTATTGCGGCACGTCGACAACCGGTCAAAGTGATTATTCACAATCCTAGTGTTCGACGCTCATCTCTAGCACTTACAACAATCAATGATCAGCATCATCAGCAGTCGAACAAAACGGATCCCGCCAATGAACTGGATGCGTTGCCCACGCATCCACTGAAGCGTGGTCGGATGATCAGCAGCGGTCGGCCATCGCTGGATTTCGAAAAAATGCGAGAGGTTTGACATTCGATTCACATTAAAATTTATGACTGAAAGATCAAATAAAAAGAAAAAAATAATGAATTCAGACTTGAATTGAAGCTATAACTTCCAGAGTCATAATGGAATTAATAGAATTAAATTAAAATTTCTACTGCTACAATTACTTGCATTTTGGTTTTGATAATAGTATCATCAGTATATATAGCTGAAAATCTATAATTCTATTTTTGCCGTAATGGAAGCCTTACTTTGTTTGATAACACTTGCATGTTACCGCAAATAGTTGTTTACTTTCTCGGGACACTGTATTGAACAACAGATCATCATAGTAATCTTTGATTTTTACATAAATTGGAGTAATCCTTTATCTTTTTTTCCGTATACGATTTGATGGGATGACTCGAAGACTAAACTCCATCCAGAATCCTTCCTGTGTTACGTACTAGATATAGCAGTGCAGAAGTATGAGTAAACAGCTAAATAAGCCTAGTATCTATTTTGTTTGACGATATAGTTCTGAAAATGAACATATTCAAAATCGAGAGACTATGAAATTTTGTTTTGAAAATGATTCGATTTGTTTCAGTGGCCTCGTATACCACGTTACTGTTTCCTATTATTTTATTGCAGCGATTAGTGGTAAGCAATGTTTGCGGCATTGGATCTCAAGAATTCGTCGATTCAGCGATGGGTAATAGTGATAAAGACATCGAGAAGCGAAAAGTAAGCATCTTAATTGTCAGATTTCGTTCTTATTGTTTCAACTCCTTACAACTATTTACTTCAAAGTTTCAGGCTTCTCATTTGTATATGAAATTTTTTGTATCTGGGTCTTACTGATGATTAGATCTGACTTATTTACACTTCCTGAAGTGATGGACTAGGATTCTTTAGCTTTCTTTACTTTGTGTTATTCCGATTTTAGTACCTCACGTCATTTCCTTCAGTTAATATCCATTAGGCTTAATAGACAGATATGCTAATTTGGTCGTACTCTAGATCTGTTGCCGTCATATTTCCACATTACATACTTCTGGCATCATATCAATACTTTCAAGATTTTGGTATTTTTATAATTCCCTTTTTTTATTTTTCGTTATTGCTATTATATTTTTAAAAAAATTGATATTTTGCAGCAAGACTGGGCGCTGGCAACTTTTATCTTAGGCGGACGTCGCTGCCCGCAGCACCAACAGGTGCGCTGCCAACAAACTGATTGCACATTCCGACCCGTCGATTGTGACGGTACACAAACGGGTAGTGGTGGTGGTGGTGGTAATAGCAATAGTAGTAGTAATAGTAATGGTGACCAATGATTTGGCACATTATGACTTCAAGCTCAGGTGAACCAGACAAACAATCTTCTCCCTCTTCTTTTCTCTCTCTCTCTCTAATGTTCTTGTTGGAAACTGAAAAAAAAAACTTGTTTGTTTATTTATTTGTTCCACCACTTACTTTCTGTTTTTCAAATAAAATTTTGAAAAATCTAAATTCTTAGCTCAAAAGTCATGCATGGATAGATAGAGAGATGAAAGCATCTTTTTAAATAAGCATGCATCAATTAGCAGTTACAATGAGAAAGTGTTTTTGTTGTTATTTTCACTAATCATCATTTATTGTCTTCTTTAATATCCATTCATTCATTTAATAAATGTTTTGAAAGTCTGAAATACTTTTTTAATGTTATCAGCATTGTTTTTTGAAGTTCTGCTTTTCATGTATTGTACTCCTTTTTATTCTTCGTCAGACAACAAGTTCTTAGAATATTTCCTTCAGGATATTTGCTCTGTTAGATACAGGCATCTCGATTTAATTCGATATCTGCAACAACTTTTTATGACCTTGGATTCAGAAGACTATTCTAGATCAACTAATGTAATTGATCATTGAGAACTTGAAGTCTTTTTCCAAAGACAGAAAATTAACCGTGTAATCAGATGTTCATTTATAATCTATGTCAGGATAATCCGTTTTTTCCGCAGAGTCTTGATGCTTTCGTTTATTTCTGGGTCTTATTCATTGACCAGAGAAAAGATAAGCCTTATTTGGTGGGATTAAAGTAGTTCTAAATGATGAGTACCCAAATCTGTCGCAGATTATACATCCTTCGGGAATATGTCTTGTATCTGAAAGCTCGTTTTTCTTTTTTTTGATTATATGGTAGCATCATCACCTATTTTTCCTCTTTCTCTCCCTCTCAGTTATGCATGTAAGCAACAAACTAATGAATGGTTAATTCATTTTCAATTTTATATGTCTCTCCAAATTCTCTTCGTTTTTTCGGTTGAAATTATTTATAGTAATGTACACTGAAAAAAAGCAACCTGCCATGATGGCTAAACAGTGTTCTCTAAACAATGTGTATTCTATGTTTAGATAGGATATCACGAAGTCGATTTGCTCAAGGTATCAGCTCATGTTTAACTTTTCCACTTTAAGGCTTGAAGTTGATAATCTTGGATAATGAGTTGGATGAAATAACTATATGAGATAGAACTGAATAAGAGAAGTGGAAACAAGCATGAACTGGTACTAGCACCATAATGATTGATTTATAGGTGCACTACTAACTACAATTATGGCATATTTCGATGCTCTGACTTCTAGCGCACATTTTGGTTACTTGTTTTATTTTTCTGTTCCATCTGGGATGGAAAGTGTAAGTCTACAGCGTTATATTATTTTGCTAGTTTAATTATAGCTTCATCCAATGTACTTTAGCTTGAAGTTGCAAAAGCATCAAAATGTGCTAAATTTTAGCTGTTATTTTATTTTCGCGTCGTGATCTCCTCACATTGTATGAGTCTCTGTTCGATTAAAAAAAGGAATAATATTTGGAAAATTTTCTTTATTTGAAAATTCCAAACTTATAGATTTTGAGAAGTCGCCCCTCTCTTTTTCTTCACATCATAATGTGGATACTTTATGTCATTCAGATTATCCTTAAATCATCAGCTCGTTTGGTTACTCGTCTTTCCCCCCCCCCCCCCTCCCCTCCTCGTCCCCCCTAAAGCTTTTTTGATTTTTTTTTTCAGTTTTTCAATGCATAGATGATAAGCAGCAGATCTTGTTGTTTCTTCAAATTTTAATTAATTATTGCTTCATTCGAAGTTAACTTCTAGAAGAAATGAGATTAGATAATAAGAACAATCCTTTGTCTTGGATATTGGATGAAATCGAACAATATCAATTATTTATCCTTTCATGTAGTCCTTTTTTTATTCCTAAATTGTTTTCATTCATCTTCAGATATTATTTCCTCTTAATTGATCTTTTTTTGCATGTACTTTTTTTTCGTTCTTGGCTCTCATTTGAAGCATTTTTCTCGACTGCTTTTTTTGTATCTTAATTTCCCGAATCTTTCGTTATTAAAAAATGCGCTTTTTTGGGGGTTCATTATAGCAGATGTCATGTGGTGTGGTATTCAGTCGACATCAACCATTTTTCACCTTCTACGTGATATGTATTTCTTAGCCCTTGGTCCTCTTATAACTTTTTTTTTTTACTTTTCTTGTTTAAAGAAAGTTGTCTAAAAGATTTATTTGTTTCAAACTTATCATTGTTGTTAAAAATCTTAATAAGTTCATGGACGTCTTCTAACTAAACGCTGAATTTTACGATATAAACAAGGGAAATTCAATGAAATTTATTTTTTCCTAATCAAGACCAACAAATTAAAATTTCAAAATCTTTTGCATAATATCTTTCTGCTAATGTACTTCATGAGTTCTGTAGTTTGATGATATACATTCACTACTGCTATCACTACTTTTCATTAATGCTTCGTACTTCCACCTTTCCTACCACTGAGAATATGTCTATGCCATTTATTGTTGTGCACATTCGCTTCCTTTACTTCATTTCTCCAATCACATGTTTATTTAAATTCAGTTAGATTTCACTAATTTCACCGCTCTAATATATTGAAGTTTGCTGACCACATGAAAATGCCTTCACATACTGTACTTCTCTCTTCCTCTTTACTGAACCAAATTTGCGTCCAAACAGACTCCGCATGTCTTTCTATAAGTTTTATTTATATATTTATTTGAAAGAAATGGGAATTCATAAATCAAAATAGAAGCAAAGAGAAAATTCCCTAATTTTCGAAAAGTTTTGTTTACATCAGTTATGGGTTTTTTAAATTTTGGTGCAAACAGACATTCCCTTACATCCATTCATACCCAAATCTAAAGCAGTATTTGAAGTGCCAGGTCAATTTTTTAACATTTTCTAGATTTCGAGAATTAGAAGAAAGAAATTCACCATTCATTATTGAATAAACATGCTACTGCTACAAGCTATTAGTATAATTCATATCGTTAATGGAAGAAATGACATTTGAGGTGCCGTGGAGAAAATTTTAGTTGATGTGCTTCATTTTGCATTTCAGCATTTTGTGGCTAAATTTGTCCTTCCTAGTGACGGTTGGAGCACTTAGCAATGTTGTCACTGTCAGACAAGTGAAACCTGTTAAAGCCAAGTTAAATGTGCTATTAAAATTGCTTCATCTACTACTCTTGCTGTCCGGAATCTTTAGGTCAGCTTATATTAACGATGAAAACAGAAATTATGACATCGTTGCAGTGGTATTGACTGAGCGAAAACATTTAAATTCGAACAGTTTTTGACTTTTTATCACGATTAATTGACAAAATCCTTATTTTAAGATGAGATTTTGTGATTTGTTTTTTAAGGAATTGGTTTAAAAAAATTCACAAAAATCATGTCTTTCCAGTTATTTAATGAAATAATAATCAGAAATGTAACGATTTATTTCAATTATCACTCAAAAAAACTGTCCATGAGAATTCTGTAAACCGAGTTTGCTGATACTACAGAATTCTTCCCAGGAATTTTTCTAATAAATCATAAATACCATTAACCGCTACTCTGATTACCACCTCGAGATGTGTTTCTTGCTTCAAAATGCATTTTGTAAATTTTGATACATTTGAAATTTAATGTAGATTGGGTATATCGTCAAATCGTATTGGCGGAAAAGAGTTAACTAAATGTAGCTATGATTTATTTTTTACTTTTTATTTTTTGAACGAAATTGATATATTACTAGCATTGCTTACAAGAATTTTACATTCACTACCTTTCTTTTCAATCAGTAAGTCGGATCATTTCCGATAAAGCTTGGAAAAATTGCCGAGTTTTTCTACAGTTTTTTTTTTTTATCATTCATTATTTCACTATTCCAACGATACACTTAATATTACAGTTTACTTTTGTTCTAATCATTGTTGCAGGGATCTACTCTACTTTCAATTATATATATAAATATATAATTGAAATTTTTTTTCAATTATATATATAAATATATAATTGAAATTTTTTTTTTCAATTATATATATAAATATATAACTGAAATTTTCTTCTTCAGTTATATATATAAATATACAATTGAAATTCAAGTAAAAAAAGTTATATTTAAGCATAGTGTTTTTGACAATATACGGTGGGTATGGATGATTTCATGATTGCCTGTAAAATTTTTGAAGGGTCTCTTCTGGTCTTAAATTTCCTTCTGCTACTATTTTCCACAGCTATTACAACAGCTACTACTCCTAACTACTTTCACTAATGCTGCTACTGTCTCTACTACCTCATTCTACGAAACTATATATTCATTTCGGAAAAAAATAACATACTTTCTCCATTCTTCCCCTTTTTGTATGTTTTAAAAGGAAAAAAAAATCATTTAAAAAGTCTATTCAGGGAGCTATCGTAAATGAAGCTTCCTTTCGGATCTAGAATTTCTGATTTTACATTTACTAGAAACACTCATCTGTTATTGTTTTCATTCGTTGTAATGTTATCCTTATCCTGTAACGAGTGGTTGGTTGATTTTTGTTTAATAGAATCAAAACTTCATAATTAAATTGAGCATAGAAATTTAGTCATTAATTACTAGCGAAACATTTTGAATGTGGAATATCCCGCGTTTCTTTTGCTTAATTTTCGGGCATAATTGAAATGATGATCTTCGTTACACGAAAAAAATACTTTTAAACCATTTTATTGTAGAATCAAATTTGAATTCAATGTTGGATTCAAACAGATATTTTAGTTTCAACTTCCTCAGTGCGTATGATTATCCTGTATATTATGTTTTCCGTAAATTTCATTAACTTTTTGGAGATAAGTATGAGTGTCCATGTGTATTTATGTATTTATGGAAATGTGTGTGTGTGTGTGTCTGTGTCTGTGTGTGTATTTGTGTACAGTAGGATACTGTGCAGTAGCAAACGTTGCATAAGATGCGGTATGATGCATAAGATACTGTAACGTATCTTACACAGCGAAT